GGGATTTCCAGGGCAGAGGGGTCCTGCCCCAGCCAGCACAAGCACCCAAGTGGGGGACACAGAGGCCTGGCCCATCCTGACAGGTAGACAGAGCTGGCTGAGGGCTCCTGCCTGGAGGGTGGTGCTGTGTGTACCTCGGCCACTGGGCCGTCCCCAGACACTGTGGCTGCCTGGTCAAGGAAGCCACTCAGCAGCCAGGTGCCTGCAGGGCCAGACTGCACAGGACACCCCACTGCTGGTGCCAGCAACAGCACAGAGGGTCATGACATGGCGAAGGCAACGGCCTGCCGGCCTTAGGAGGGTGACCGGTGCTGCCCTTGGCCTCAGCGGCACCCCTCCGGGCCTATCCCACGTTGGGGCCCACCTTGCGGCCCAGCCTGCACTCTGCCACAATGTCTCCCGACAGCGGAGCTGGGTCCCTCCCAGTCCCCAGCAGACCTGTCCACTGTGGCCGGGTTCCCCTTGGGGAGCGGACACTCTTTAGAGCTCCCTGCCTCTGCCCAGGCTATTGCCTACCCCATCACCCCCAGACCTGGGGTGGTCACTGCCCGTCATCCTAGGGGAGGCTCAAACCCTCCCCAGACTCCTTCAGCCCAGACCACCCTACGGGGTGCTGCATGGACTCTGGGGGTGTGGTCAGGCTGTGCCTCCTAACAGGGACAGTCCCAGTGGTCTGGGGGACAGACAGGGGAGGCAGGAGGGACTGAGTCACAGACATGGCCAGGAGTGGAGGCTGCAGAGGCGAGGGCTCCATGCTGTGTGGGGGCAGGTACCCAGAGCAGAGGGTGGACAGTGCAGGCTCCCAAGAGTGGCGGTCTTGCTGACACCCAAGATGAAGTCAGACTAAAGACCCGAGAACTACAGGGTGGCAGGTCTGTGTCGCTGTCAGCCATGAACGGTCTGCCCCCTCTTGGGCCTCCTCCCCACATGAGGGAGGAGGCTGACCCTTGGAGGCCACAGGAGAGGCTGGGGCCCTGGAGGTCAGTCAAGGCTGCAGGGGCTGAGCCTGTGCAGCTCCTCCTCAGCCCATTGAGACCCCGGGACAGCCTGACCTGCAGCGTCCGAGAGCAGGGGCCATGAAGAACCTCAACCTGCCAGACCTGCCGCATCGGGGCTGTGCCTGGACCCCCAGACCTGGGCCCAGAAAGGCCCTGTAATTCCAGAATGGCATCTCCTACCCTTCTGAGCAAGAGGGTTAGAGAGATGGCTGACAGACACCCCAGCACTAGGGGCCAGACGCTCACCAGGCTCTGGAGACATCCTGAACCCTGGGGCCTGACTACAGGCTGACTTTCAGGAAACGTAGCCGCTGGTTCTCCTCAGAGTCAAGTCTGAGGGACCTACCATGGCTGGATTCTCTCCGCTTCAGGCTCTGGACCCTCCCTGGGCTGTCCACAGCTAAGAGGGTCCCCCAGGCAGCACCAGCCCATCACCAGCTCCTGGTGCTGGAGAGGGTCACTGTGCCCTCCCCCCAGCAAGTCCTGACGACAAGGGCCTTCCTGAGGGCGTCTGAAGGCTGAGACTGCCAGGCCGGAGGTCTCCCAGTGTCCACTGTGCCCAAGGGCCCCCATACCCAGACCGTCCGGCTCCCTCAACCACAGCCTGTAAGATGGGTGCTAGCTCCCTCCATGGCCCTGAGAGCAAGCCAGGAGGCAGAGTCAAGTTGTGGCACCAGCCCCCTGGCAGCCTGTCGGCAACACACACCCG